TTTGACAATTTTTTTGTCACAAAAATTCGGTAATATGAGGGTATAATGTTATTTGTTACTATAAGGTTTGTTTTTAATGACAACTTGGGATATCGTAATTTTTGTATTAATTATAGATGACGAAATTCAAATTTAGATGACAAATATATCAATGCATAGGTGACACATTCATTGTCACTAAAAGTCATCAATAATGGTGACATAGTATTTAAGCGTCATATAAAAGTGAATTATAAAGTGACGATCCAAAATTGTCATGTATACATTTTGCCACGGAGCTACGGTGACGTTCGCTGTGATGCTCATAATTCGTCACGTAAAAGTTTTAGTGACAAAAATTGGAGATTATATGATGAATATTTTCTTCACTTTTTGTCAAAATTCTTGTAGTGATGCAAGCTCTCAATCATTGAGCTCTATCACACCCTATTCTTCTCAGTCTTTTTCTAATGACTCTGGATCTGGATCTGTGTTTTCTCATTCAAATGGTGAGGTAAACCTCATTATGATGTGAATGATGGGAAGTCTAAAGAGAAGAGTTTTAAAGCTTCAACCTATACTGTTTGTGATTGTGTTTGCCTGACTTATCCTCTCAAGTTTATTCAGCCAAACATCTGAAACGGTCATCTAGGGAGAAAATCTTTACTTCTCAAAAACATGTTCCACCATTCACATGTGCTGAAATTCTCCAAAAACCTACAAATAATCTTCAATGGGTTCCTAAATTAGAATCACAATCATATAACTCTCCCAAAGCTTCAAAAAAGAGGTTGGTTTAGGAACAAAAATAAAACAAAAATTTTAAAAAAAAAATGTGCTAAAAGGGATGGACCCACCCTGAAATAGGTACCAAAGGTTTCTTAACCTTATGCAGGTCCATCGTGCATGGTACCTGATACGATTGCTCCACACACATGGCGGGTATGACGAGCTGTGAGCAATCAATCAAAGAGCACATTATCAAGGAAAGTATTGATGTGTATACTCTCCACTGAGCTAAAGGTCAACAAATGCACCTCAACAATCACCACAACACGTCTATCAAGAGTGGCAATATTCTATCAGGTACCGGGGTGAACAAAATTATATGTTACCCAATAGAGTTTGATTCTTACCTATGCAGTCATGCTGGCATCAGCGAAGCAACCATCACTCCATTCGTCTTTTCCAAATTCGAACCCAATACCTTAAACTCTCTATAGTTACAATTTCACACCTTCATCCATCCACGATATCCACAAATTAAACTCATACTCTTTTTATTCTCTCCACTTTTTTTCATTTCTTTATCAACAAAACCCACCAAATGACCTAAAACCCGAATTCTCTAACTCCACCTACACCAAGTCAGAATTTTTGCTCAACCAACAAAGAAAGAAATGACACCACAAAAGGGTTCATCTTCTATGACGATGAGCACTAGGGACAGTGCTTTGGTTAGCTTGGGGGGAGAGTTTTATGTAATACTCACATTCATACTCTATATTCTCTTGTTAAAAAAATTTAATAAAAGCTTGTTAAGTTGAAAACCTGAAAGGGCATCTTAAGCAAAAATAAAGCAAAAATAAGAGTGAGTTGTGAGGGTTAAAACAGAAAAATGTGGGAAGCTGGGATGAAAACCCAAGAGGGCACCTAGGCAAAATGAGAGAAATGAGAGAAAGAATATCTTTGCAGGATCCTAAGGGTAACAATGAAAAAAGAAAATTTGATAGGAGATTTTGGAGTTGAAGACCCCTTCTTACTCTTTTAGTTTTGGGGATACTTTGTGTTATTTTCTATAAACACTCGTGGATGTTGGTGTTGATACTCTTGTCATTTAAAGGACTTCTCAGACAAGATTTGGTTTACTCGAGACGAGTTAAGGTTCAAGTGTGGGGGTATTTGATATGCACTAATTAGTAGTGCATAAATGTATATTTTATGTTTGGTTTGTGTGTATTGTTTACCATTTTTATTAGTTTGTAAACATTTTTTTTATTTGGTTTGTAATTGTTTTTAGCTTACATTTATAAGTTGTAAAGTAGTGGTAAGTTTTTGGCAAGGAAAAGGAGGAAAAACAAGAGGAATGCTGACTGACAAGCACTTTGTCGTGATGTGCACTCAAAATAAATATCAATACGACACTAATACGTAGTATAGTGTAGTAAGGTTCGTATCCACAGGGAAAGGAATACTTTTCTTTTTAAAGAAATATATAAGTAACAAAGGGGGGGGGGTTATGTTTGGTTGATGAACTTTAAATTATATTTAAACACGAAGATGAACGAGTTATGTGGTTTAATTAATGAGAAGAAGACTTGGCTTTGCTTTTATCCACTTAATGAAATGTTCGTCGATCCCGGTTATATCTTTAACTATCTTCCTCTCGAATACTCAATCAAGGAGTATATCCAATTCATCGAGGGTAGTTATTAATAACGAGACGCGTTCATTAATAAAACTTACTACCGAGTTAATATAGAACACGCGCCGTATATTCACTCGATAGTAGCAATAAAATCAAGATGAAAACGATTGAGATTGATAACCTCAACACAAGCGGTTTATTGGTTTAATCAATATAATTAATTCCCCTTGGCTTATTAACCATGAGACGCATGCATTAACAACCCAAGTTTACTACCATTGAAAGAACCGAATTAATAACAAGCGTATTAACCGATTGATTCTAGTATTAATTAATATATGAAACAAAACTAGTTGATCCTTTAAGTATTGCTCAAAATATTAATATGTAATAGGAATAGGAATTAATTAATATTCAAGGAAGAAGATTAAAGAAAATAACTCACAACTTACAATTCATTAAGCTTCAAAGTAGCAAAACCAAGATGGAAGAGTTTAGCTCCTCATTTGGAGACTAAACATGAAGAAAATATAAAGAAATAACTTGTCTAAACTGAGCTTAGAAGTATATAGGAATTGGTGATTTTTTGTGGGAAGGAAAGGGGTCTATTTATAGGGAATTGGAGCATGCAGGGGTGTGTACCCGATCGGGTCTTGGAGGCTCCCGATCGGGTACACTCAGAAGCTTCCCGGAAGCTAAAAATAAGGTCATACCCGATCGGGCGTGTCGGTCACCCGATCGGGTATGACATTCGAACATGGTCAAAATCTTCCCTGCATGTTATTTGGTTCCCGGGTTGATCCGATTTGATTTTCCAATAGGGTACCCGATCGGGTATAGGGTATACCCGACCGGGTACAGCACAAAAATTCAGAATCTTCATTTTGTCTTGGGATTTTTGCACCTTCCTTCCACTTGTGATGTTCACCAATGGTCCATAAAGTGTTCTTGGACCTGTGTGAGCTCAGAATGAACCTAATCTAAACAAATTACAAATATTTTACAAACTAAACTATTACACCAAAAGTGTGTAATTTCCAAAGTAACAATCAATCTAAACTAATTAAAAACACAAATATAAACAAAGAAATTACATGAATGTCAACTCCCCCACACTTAGTTCCTTTACTCGACCTCGAGTAAAACCAAGTGTTTACACAATGTTCATCAAAAGAGCATGAGTTCATAGATAGGAAGAAATAAGAAATTAAAACCACCAAGTATTGTAAATGAGTGTACAAAAACAACATTCCTTGGGTTTAAGGGTCTTCTATGTTCCTTATTTCTTCTTTTTTTCTCTTCTTCTTTTCTTCTTCTTCTTCTTCTCTTCCTCCAAAAGATAATGTCCTGCAAAAACAAATTTTTCTCTCATATCTCTCACACTACTAGAAAAAGGACTTTTAACAATAAAAAATATGGTCGTTATAAGCTTAAAAGTTTGTCGTTAAAAGTTTTAACGACCATTTTTTTTTCGTCGTCAAGTGGTCGTTATAGGCTCCGTCGTTATTGGTTTTAACGACGAAGTTCATCGTTATTAGTTTTAACGACGAAGTTCATCGTTATTGGTTTTAACGACAAAGTTCATCGTTACTAGTTTAACGACGAACTTCGTCGCTATTAGTTTTAACAACGGAGTTCGTTGTTATTAATTAACAACAACACTTGATATCGTTGTTGCATATTAACGACAAGAAACTCACTCGTCGTTACTCAATAACGACAACATAACCCTTCATTGGTATTGAAAAACAAAAATATATTTAATCATTGTTATTTTTTATACATTTTTTAATATCATTAAATATTCAATAATGACCACGGTATTATAACAATAATCACAACCTCCATGAAATGCCTCTTTAATTAGGACACATTGAAAAAAAGTACATGTAATAAAGCACTTAAACTATACATTGAACAACAATATATATACCAATCTTCGAATAAATTTAACAATAAAATACTTCCTAAATATAACAACTATTGTAATTAAGTTGATTCAGTATAATAATCATCCACATAAATAAAATAAAATCTCAATACGTAAATGTAAGAATACATATGTATCAATAACTATATGAAAAATTGAGCACTAAATCAAATAAGCAGTAGCACGATGGCATTGATGTGGTGCAAACTTCCCTTGTCATCTCTATCACCTACAAAAAAAAAATCATAGAAATCAGATTTTATAACAAAAAATGACATATATAAATACTTGAGAGAAATAACTAATATGCTTCATAGATATAATTATACTTCCCAATAGCACGAGTCACAATAAACACTGATAAATTCAAAATAAATAGTGATTAATTCTTACTTTAATAGATTATATAACACATTTTTATTCTACACTTTTACTTCATTTACTACCGTGTTTAGTCATACATACCTTGTGATCCAATTTACGAAGGAATCGCAACATTAAGTTGCTTCACCAACGTCTCTGGAAAGATTCGCATTTGAGACTCCACAGAATCCACACGATCCTTAAGTGTGGTATTTTCATCCTGAATTGTCTCCACACGATCCTTAAGTGCAGCATTTTCATTCTGGATCGTCTCCACATGATTGGCTAGAAATTCATTTTGTTTTTTAGTAGCATTCAGCTCAGCTTGAAGTTCTTCTCTACTAGGTTGCGGTCCGATTATATCCCTACGCTTTATTCCTCCTCCATAACCAACAACCCGATCTTTAGACTTGGACTTGAAAACCTTTTGTGCTACCTATATATAAGAAGAATACAATCTGAAAATCCCACAACATAAATGCCGAATGCGGCACTCAAGAAAACTATTTAAACTATTTACACTGTTCAGCTTGTGAAGTCTATGCTAGGCAGAAAGAGAGAAATGGAACAATATATACCTCTACATTAGAAAGTGAAGGATCATTTTCCATTGTCTCACGAATTTCTTCCTGCAAAATAAAGACCATAAACAAGAGCTACAAGCTGCCTGCAACAATACCAGTTTTCGTGGACTTCATTTCATTCAATATAGAACACGTGCTACCTCACATTTTCCGGCAAGAACACTACTCCCAGCATTTTAATGCATATTAAAAACTCACTATATTGTACTCCATTATAATGTAAACTGAAACCCAATTTACTGCCAGCAACAACACATACTATAACTCCCATTATTTTGTTAGTGTGTGCAGTGACAGACCTAGGAATCAGAGCACAATGCATCCACACCAAGCATAATAAAATGTTCTTGAAGTTTTATTTGTACACATTCAGAAACTATGTTATTCATTAGTCCTTCAACGTACACAATAAACCCTCTTTAAAAATCAGGGATCCTTTAATGAAAGCAAAACAGAAGTTGAAAAATGATTAAATTAGTATTGTTTGAAACATAACAAAATGATTCAATATAAGAAAATGATATGTGGAAATAATGAGACTTCAAGTAGTTAGTTAAAATTTGATTATTTTCGAAAAGGATCAAAACAAAAATAGTTAGCATTAAGAAATATCTTTAGGTAGATGAAAAACAAGTTTTTTTTGCAAGGAAAAAGGTTTATTTTCATTCATAAGTGAACAAACAATAGAAAAATGGGCATACATGTTTTTGTGTTGTCTCCGCATTCGGAAGCTTATCACCTTTCTTGCGAGTGGTGTAGAAGACATCAAGTAAATTAGGATCATTTCCCTCACGTGCACCCTTCAAAAAACACAAGTATTCATTTTTTTCAATTGTAAATAAATGAACTAAATATAACATCTTGTAAAGGCTACAATAATCCACGAAATTCCATACCAAATCATCCCAAATGATTTGCCTAAAAGGCTTGCTCCCTGTGCGGTGCATTAGTTCATTAGCATAGCAACCTCTATTAGAAGAGTTTCTTTTACTTTTTTTCTGAAACAAAATCTCATATTATTGCATATACACGCACTAGAAAGTGAGGATTTAACAATGTATTCAACGAGTTTACCTGAAACTCAGGATTCGAATAGACCTCTCTGATAAGCCACTTCCACTCAGCCTTGTCAAGTCCCGTAGGTGGATTAGCATTGTATGCAGCTTTTAAGGTTATATTCTTGTTGGTCACATTATTCCTTAACAAATCTGATCTCCAATTTCCCCACAACTCTTTCATATGCTTGAAGGTATGCTCTTTGTAAACTTCCATGTTCTCGTTACTAAAGACATCCTGTAGTATCACATTATGGTTAAAGGGTGAAAGGATGAACATGTCTTTAATAAGTAAACTTATAACTTATAACAGAAAATTAATAAGTTAATAAGACCAAAAAATGAATAAAACACTTTAAAACAATAATAAATCAGGATTAAAAAGGAGACATAGAGCTATCACAACTACATAGTTACCGTGACTGCACTCCACATGTGTTCCTTTTCTCTTTCTCCGATGTCATTCCATTTGTGCACTCTCAATGGGCACATATTTGTATCTCGCACGATAATCCCCAAATGTCTCGCCCATATGTTGTGATTCTTCCCAACCGCTCGATTATTATAAAAACTGATTTCAAGTTTTTGACCAGGTTTAAGTTTTGCTACTTCTTTACATTTGTTTCTTCCTCTCCTCTTATCAATCCCAGATTTCTTCTTAGTCGTAATAGATCCTTGACCTTCAACCATGAAAACACATGGTTCAAAGTTTTACATTATTGTAATAACCAATTTCGCAAAACAACTAAGGAAGTTTTAGGTTTGAATTTTACCTATCAAACAATAACTTATTACCAGTACACAAGTTATTGCTATTTCTTAAGTTCTAGAAACCATGAGTTAACAAATTTTGAAATAAAGTGTATTTTCATTCGAGAAATGTGATATAGAAAGTCTGGGGACTTATTTTGGAAATTCACTTGCAAAGGCAAGCCATATAGAAAAATATATGCGTTGCAAAGGGTGGCACATGTTACCATTTAGATCTTGTAAAACTGTTTGTCCTTCCTCCACTTCAGTGTCACCACCATCATTACTTTCTGTCGTACTCGTACTTTCTATCTGAGTTTTCTTTTTTTTAATACAAGAGTCACCGCCTTCAACCAAGACACAATATGATTAAAGTAGTAAACAATAAGTGATAAACGAGATATATCAAGACATTTATAATTTATAATATGTTAAACCATTACCAATTGGATCTTGGGTAAATGTCGGATCTACCTCCATTTCATTATCATCATCCCAAATGCTTTTGCCTCTCTCTTTTTCTATCCCACTGCTCTTCTTAGAAGTAAATGAGCTACCACCTTCAATATTTAAAGTGTTAAATATTACAAGTACAAACAACTTCAAATAAAACTAATTATGAATGTCACACTCTTACCATTGCTTTCTCTATGAACTCCCTGATAAAACTCTATTTCATTCTCACTGTCATCATCAACAATGGTTCTTTTTCTCCTTTTTTCAAATGAGGTATTCTTATTATAAGTAAAAGAGTGACCTATTTGAACCAACAAAAATAGAATTAAATTAATGAAAACACAATATAAAAAAACTAAAATAAATTATTTCATGCCAAACCTTTATCATTTGAATGTCCTGCATCCTCATTATGCAAATCTACTTCATTGCCACAAACATCATCAAATATGTTATCACCCCCATTAAGAATATTTGTCCCTCTTGTACTCTTAGTCTGAACTTTCTTGTTTGCAATCCAAGAGCCACTAGCTTCCACTAAAATCAAAGTAGCCATAAATCATTTTCCCATTTAGGTCTAGTAAAGATGTTGATAGTGAGTGATGCATGAATGTTGAGTCTTGCATTTATTTCTATTACACTTCCTTTACTTATATGCATGGTTCATTTTCTTGTTTAATAAAAGAGTGCCTCAAATAGCCTTAAGCATCATGTTGGGATTCTTATTATTGTAAAAGCAATCCAAAAAGAAGAAATAATTGTTGAAAGTTAGATCAAGTGACTGATTTTTTTAGCAGGGTAGTTCTTATAATAGGCAGTCAAAACAGAAGAATTAAGTGCTAGAAGTTTACATGCATTGAGATACATGACATGCCAGAGTTCAGTGAAATTTATCATATGAAGTTTCCTTTTACTTAATAAGTACTATTAGATTAACGAAATTCTTTTTTTTTTGCTTACTTTTGATACACGATATGTCAAAGAACAATGAAATTCTTCTTTTTTTTGCAGCGACTCTTTTATCTTAACCTTATTATTTTACTATTTTACCAATCTATTGTACACTACTGATCAACAAAACATTACCAATTGGATCTTGGGTAGAAGACAGATTGACTTCCAATTGACTAACATCGCCAAAGATGCTTCTTCGCCTCTTCTTTTCAATCACAACATTTTTTTTTGAATTACCAAAGTCACCCCCTTCCACAATGAGAACATTTGGATTAAGACTGGAATAATAGAAGTAACGTAGCAGCAAAGAAAACAACTAATAAATGCTTTAGTATGAACATTTTCAGCTTAGGATATTTTTACTTGGACTGTAATTTGCTGATCTGGTCTGGTCTGAACTGGTCTGGTTTCTTTGTATTTTTATAACTATCCAAGTCTGGTCAGGTCTGATCTGGTCTGGTCTGATCTGGGACAAATTACAGTCCAAATAAAAACATCCATAATGTATCAATCGAAAAATGAAAAAACTGCAAATAAACCAAATGTTGACAACATACCTTTATTGTTTCTTTCACTTACAAGTTTCTGATATAACCCTACTTTATTCTCATTAACATCATCAATAATGTTTCTTCCTCTTTCTTTTTCAAATGCAATATTTAGCTCAGAAGTAAAAGAACCATGTCCTAAAACCATAAAAGTTTTGGACTAAAATATTAGATTATAAAGCAAAATATAAAATAAATAAAAACATTGTTAAAATTCCATACCTTTATCATTTGAATCTCCTAGAACCTTCGAATGTAGTTCCACTTCAGCGCCATTAACATCGCCAAAAATGTCATCACCCTCCTCATGAACTGACTTATTAGGGGATAAATCCCAATTTTTCATGTTGGAATTTATTTGAGGGAGAATATGTAATGGATCGAAGGGAGCTCCGGTAGGATAATTTTTGGCAGAAAGACCTTTGGAATAACTTTTTGAACCACATGTCACCTTTGAAAGATCACTACTAGTCCCCATTAATGACTTGGATCCAATGACACTTTTAGAAGAAAATAAATCACATACCTTTTTGTTGCATCCCTTTGCCAACACTTGAGGTGGCACATAAGACCTTTTAGATCTTGGCATAGAACTCTTAGATATATTATCATTAGGACGAAACATTTCCCGGGATATTAGTAAAATATTTGTTATCTTTGAATCCAAGGAAGGATATACTAATTCATTCCATTAAAATATAGCACACCAACCCAATAGGCGTGGCAAATAAAAGTAGTTATGTTACTGGTAAAGGATTTAGCTATAAATAAAACTAGTTACTAATGCAACACAGGACTTCACTTATTTTTCAGACAACATGATGCATTCAATTTAAACACACTGTGATATATATAAAGTATAAAACATTCTTATTAAAACACACTGATATATATATAAAGTACAAATGAAACTTTCACTCATCTAAAATATTCAAATTTAAAATTACGGAATAAAAAACAAACTACATTATGGAGCGTTTTTAAAAGCAACTACTAAGAAATAAACTATTCCTCCCTTCTTCTTTTGTGGCATCTTTTTTCAGTATTCCTTCTCTTTGAAGTATCTTCCAAAACTTCTGGATCAATACCAGCTCTACTTTTACATACTTCAGCACTTGCGGTTGTTGATGATGAGGCAACATAAGTAGTTGGGAACAATTCACTACATTGGTATGCATCACCTGTGTTGCTTCCACCATTGTCATCATCTTCCATGTCACAAAATATGCGGGGTCGATTTTTTGCCACAAGCTGCCATCCTTTGTTAACGTTGTCAGTGACATAAAACACTTGTCTTGCTTGACTAGCCAAGATAAATGGTTCATTTGTTTTCAATTGCTTATTGGGATTAACACTTACAAAGTCATACTCATCTGTTTTAATACCTCTAACCTTATCATGCACATCCCACCATTTGCAACGGAATAGCACTACGCGGTTCCCTCCAAGATATTGCAACTCTACTATTTCAATGACTACTCCGTAATAGTCAATATTTTCATCTCCATTCCCTGAATTTCCCATCACAACTACTCCACTATTTTGTGTCCTCAGAGTCCTCTCACGACTTTGTATGTGAAACCTATACCCATTAACAATATAACCACTAAAAGATGTCACATATTGTGTTGGTCCACGAGATAGTGCTAGCAAATTGCTCATATCCTTGGTCTTAGCACTTTCACACAACTGTGTAACCTAGCAAGGAGGAGGTTAACCAAATAAGAATGTAATAATTTAAAATTTTTACTGTTCTAGTTATTTAATAAAGCTGCTACTTACCGCATTCTTAAACCAATTCTTAAAACTTTCCCACCAATCATTTTCAGAAATTTCAGGACCACTTGAACCAAGAGACTTTGAATATTCTCTACAAAATATTACAGAACCAATTAAATTGTATGACTTGTAATAATGAAAAAGAAAATTGTGAACTCTTGATTTCTTACTCGACAAAAGGTTGAACCTCATCACAATTCTTCAAAATATAAATGTGTGCTTGATCCATCTCACACTTTTCAAGAGATATAATAGTAGGAGATCCCAAACCCCGACCAGAATGACTAAAAATGGACAAGGAGTTATTGCAACCATATGCATTTTCATAATTTCGATCAAGACGATTGAATCTTGTCTCCATACTATGCATATACCTTGAGCACATAGTCATGCATTCCTCTGCCAAATAACCCTCTGCAATGGAAGCCTCTGGATGCGCCCTATTTCTTATATATGATTTAAGATTGTACATATATTGCTCGATAGAATACATCCATCTGAATAAAACTGGTCCTCCAATTTTAGCTTCATTGATTAAATGAATTGGTAAATGTATCATAACATCAAAGAAGGATGGAGGGAAAATCTTCTCTAATTTGCAGAGAGTAATTGGAATTTGTGACTCTAGATGCTCCAAATCAGCAACATTAAGTACTTTTGCACACAACATACTGAAGAACATTGATAGCTCAATGAGTGATTCACGTACAAGTGGGGTGAGAAGACCACGTATTGCAAAAGGAATAAGATGTTCAAGTAGTACATGGCAATCATGGCTCTTCAAACCCGATATTTTTGCATCTTTGGTGTTCACACAATAAGAGACGTTGGAGGAAAAACCATCAGGAACTTTTAAATTTTTTAAAAACTCACAAAAACTCGTTTCTCAGAGGGGGACAAAGTATATGGAGCTGGAGGTATCTTGAACTTGTCTCCATCTTTGATGAGGTGTAATGTAGATCTCAATCCCATAGCTTCCAAATCAAGGCGTGACTTGAAAGTGTCTTTGGTCTTTCCTTTGATGTTCATAATAGTCCCAAGAACACTATCACATATATTCTTCTCAATATGCATCACGTCTAAGTTGTGTCGTAATAGAAGTGTCTTCCAATATGGGAGCTTAAAAAAATACTTTTTTTATTCCAATTGTCCCCTCTAGCCTCGTGAGATATTTTTGTTTTCACGCTAGGTTCTTTAGACAATATGATGTTCTCAAGATCTTTCAGCTGGAAAAGTATATCATTAATTGAACAAGGATGTGCAGGTACACTCCGCTCAACTTGTCCATCAAATGAATCTTTTTCCTTCCTCCATCTATGGTTTTTTGGAAGATAACGTCGATGGCCCATGAAACATTCTTTGCCACCTTTAGGTAACCTCTTTGAGCGTGTATCCTTAAGACAACACGGGCATGCTAATTTTCCCTTTGTGCTCCATCCAGATAACATTCCATAAGCTGGAAAGTCATTGATGGTCCAAATTAAAGCCGCACGCATCTGAAAATGGGTTTTTGTTGATGCGTCAAAGGTTCGGACACCAGTTTCCCAAAGATCTTTTAATTCTTCGATTAGAGGTTGCAAGTATATGTCAATAGCATCACCAGGACCACTCGGGCCAGGAATAATCATTGATAAAATCTTATTAGACTGCTTCAAACAAAGGTGAGGAGGCAGGTTATATGGAACAAGCATCGCAGGCCAAATGCTGTACGATGTTTTTGAATTTGCAAAGGGCTGGAAACCATCACTTGCAAGTCCAAGCCTCACATTTCGAGGATCCGATGCAAACTCGGGGTGATGTTTGTCAAATGATTCCCAACCAGATCCATCAACTGGATGTCTCATTGTACCATCTCTCTTCTTTTTATTGTGATGCCACTTCATCAAAGGAGCAGTTTTCGAACACATAAATAATCTTTGCAACCTTGGTTTTAATGGGAAGTACCTTAGTGTCTTCAAAGGTACTTTTTTACCATTTTTTTATGCTTTTGCTCCCCATTATGCTTATCAATTTTCCATCTTGATGCGCCACATGTGTTGCAAGTATCCAACTCTTCATCCCCCCTCCAAAATAACATGCAGTCATTGACACATGCATCAATTTTTTGATAAGATAGCCCGAGGTCTTTCATGATCTTCTTTGACTCATAATAGGAATCAGGCAACTTTGATCCATCAGGCAAAAGCTCGTTCTTCAAAAACTCTAGGAGCATGGTAAATGATTCATTGCTTCAACGACCAATAGTCTTGATATGAAGAAGTTTTAAAAGTGCAGACATTTTTGAACTCTTGCAACCTTCATAAACAGGATCTTGTGAATCCCTTAAGAGATTGTAGAATCTCTTTGCATCATCATTTGGCTCTTCAATAGTATTTTCATCCAAGGGTGAATCACCATCATAACACTCTGGATATAGATCTCTTAAAATAAAAGGAATTTCATCCTCATCTTCATCTTCATTCCCTTCTAAAGTATCAACACTTTCTGACACAGATTGTGACTCATCCAATCTCTCCCCATGGTGATACCAGAAGGTATACCTCTTGATTATTCCATAAACTAACAAATGTTCTCGCAATTTCTCGCGATCACCAAATTCAGCATTTACACATTTGCAACACGGGCAACGAACCGCCTTAGTTCCCAACTTTTGGAAAGCATAGTCTAAAAAGCTATTAACTCCTACTTCGTAAGATTTATCATTAACGTAATCTTCAATGTTCATCCAGTCCTTGTTGGGAGTCATTGTGTTTAATGTAGAGGTATGATAAGTTGACAGTGACCTAAAACATTTGGAAAAGAAAAGACATGTATATTTGGTGCAATAAAATAACTTAGCATGAATAAGCCATGAAAATCAACCAAGTGAATAAGCCAAGAAAATCAACAAAATAAATAATCCAAGTGAATAAACCAATCGAATCACCTAACCATATCAACCAAGCAAATAAGCAAACTTACTTTTTAAAGCGAAAAGAGCACTAAAGTTATGAGGTGTGGCTTTGCTTAAAAGCGAAAGCGCAAAGCGAAGCTTAACTTTCTCCCAAAAAGCGATGCTTATAAAAACATATAATATTAAAATATATAATGCAAAATCAGGCCAAAAACACATAACTAGTCATGCCCCCATGCAGATCCTAACTCTTGGATTGTGTTCGACATATTTCATTTACATACATATGTTAGATCAACTTATAATCTAGCAAGTGTGGGAATATTTTATATTGATTGCAGCTAGTAGCCTAGCTATATACAATCATGAGCTACACTTTTAGTTAATTTAATAGTATTCCTTAAATTAGAGTAATAACAAAATACTTTCTTGTAATAATGTTAACTTTTTACTAATAACAAAATTAGTGTAAAATTGTAGCTAGTA